AATGAATGAGAAGCTCCAGAGTCGAAAAGAATCATCACATCCTTACCAGCAGCTCCACCCTTCCCCTTTACAAGATTTGAGGAAGTAGAAGCTTCAGCCCCAGTCAAAGCGAACACTCTGCCAGCTATAGTAGGTCTGTCACCCCTCTAAGCGTTGCCTCTTTGAGTATCTCTCCTCTGAGCACCCCTCTCCGGTTTGTTTCTGGTGGGACAGTTGGTCGACTCATGACCCATTTGATGGCACCTGAAACACTAGCTCTCCGTGTGTGGACAATCCCTAACAAAATGGGACCCAGCACACTTGTAGCATCTAAGAGTGGCACCTCCACCCTGTCTCCCACCTCTGGCAACATTAGTAGGTTGCCTTATGACAGGACCCCCTTGCTATGGTTGAGGCCTATCATATGGCTTCCTCTGATTTCCTCCTCTCTTGGACCCAGCTAGTCCCTCAACAGTCTTCATCACACGGTTGTCACCTTCTAACCGCTCAACAACCTTCGCCTTCTCAACTAAGGCTTGAAACTTAGTGATGGCCGATCGAACGGCCAACATGGCCGAGGAACAGTATATTGGAAATGGCAAGAATAGTACGGCCATTGTGGCCGAAGAAAAACAAAAAACAAAGGTAAACTTCGAGGTTGGAAAAACAAAGAAAAACAAAAAACAAATGTGGACCTCGAAGTTGGGAAAAATGAAGAAAAACAAAAAACAGAGAAAAATCGAGGAAGACCAAGTTGCCTCGAGACAAACAGAAAAAGAAAAAATAGAAAGAGACCAGGAGGTCGAAAAAACCAAAGAGTGCAAAGACCAAGAACTAGAACCCAAGTTAGATTGTGTTTTCGATGATTCGCCCCTGGGATTCGAAAGGTCCACCAATGAAGAACATAAGTTGGCCAGAACGGCTTGTTCTGAATCCGGAACGGCCCGTTCTACACCCATCCATCATGTGTAAAAATTACATGCAGAACGGCCCGTTCTGAAACTAGAACAGCTCGTTCTGGAACTCATCTAGAACGGCCCGTTCTCTATCCAGAACGGCCTGTACTCCCTTCATAACGCCCCGTACTCCATCCAGAATGGGTCGTTCTCAACTACGATTTACAGGTCAATTTAATAGTTTGGAACGGCCCGTTCGAGATTGGGAACGACCCATTCTGAGCTACTAAATCACCTATATTGGGCTTTTGGGCCTTCGGAAACAACTTGCTACGTTACACTTATAATATATTAAGGGTGTCAAATTTAATAAGTTAAGAGAGTGAATTGTTGTAAACTCACTAGATAATGAGTTTAATTTCAAATAAAAAATAAACCTATAATATGATAAAAAAAATACATATAAAGAATATAAGGAGAGAAAATTATAAACAACATAGGTGGCATGATGAAAAAATGAGATATATAGGACTTAATGATTCATTGCTACATGTTTATATATATGTGATTTCTCAAGTTTCATATGGAAAGCAGAGAAAAAATTACGTTATGTAATAAATAAGATAAAATTATCTTTATTTATATACGAATAATGTTAACATTTTCTATCTAATATTCTCTTTTAAGTTAAACTTTTAAAAATCACAAATTTTGTAAGTCTAAATCTCATTTAATAAATGTCTCTTAATCTTATGATAAAACCAATTAAAATTTACTAAAAATAAAAATTTTAATCATTAATAAAAAAGTATTAACACGAGAATATTAAAGAAAGTTTCATTTATCTTTTTACATACCTATCTATTCTATTTAGAATATTTACATTATTTCATATACATACTTTTTTATTTACAACTAAACAAGGCCTTTTCCCATTACTTTCCTACTTTTTCTTAAATTGAACATGCCATAGATTTTATATTAAATAACAATAGTAATAACCTCCAACATAATTAAGCAAAAGAGGAAGACAATCCTATTCATTTTCTTACCTTTTAATTGTTATTCAAAATACAGGAAGCATCTTTGTCTTGACCTGTAATTAAACAAAATGGGAAGACAATACGTTTTCATTTGTATTTCAAATTATCATTTAATAATATACGATAAAATTATTAAATTTTTATAGCAATCATTCTAAAGCTTGTATAAGAAACATTTGTTAATTAGTTAATAATACATCTTTTTACAATAACAATTTATTAAAACTAAGTTGAAAAATACAATTTCTCGTTGAATGTTTGGGTTGATGGCATCTATTTAGCTTTTTGACCATCTGTCCCAGGCTGCATCTTCATATTGAAGATTGTCCCTTGTGGTGGGTCCCACAACTAATAGTCATGTCATGCATAGAGGGAATCAAACTTTTTTATCAGATAAAAATTTACCACACTGACTCAAAACTCTATGACAGCACGTGTGTTGCAGGTTCATCTTAGTGGAAGAGGGAGAAAAGCTACATTGTGAAATGTAAACTCTTTCCATTTTTTATTTATAGTTATTTTGTTAGAAATTATCATTTTATTTTATTGTTATTTTATTAAAATTAATAATTTATTAATTTTTTTTTCTCATTTTTATCTTTAATAATTAATGTATGTTTACTGAATAACGTGTCTATTTATTTTTAACGTTTACCTATTTTTTCTTCAATCACCTATGTGAAGTTAATGCTGCATTTAAAAGGACAATATATTTTTAACGAAATATTATAAAAAAATAGAGAGTAGAATAGGAAAGTAAGTAATAAATATTTTTGAAAACTAAAAATGGAGGGAGTAATCACTACACCAAAATTAGGTTTTTGTGACAATTAATTTATTCTTTAACGACCATATAAATAGTCATTATTTTTTTTACCAGCATTTAGATAATGGCTGGTGTATCCAGTTTCGCTAATACTATTACCGACATTTATATAAAATGCTGGTAAAGACCTACTAAATTGTCGGAAAAACTTATTTTTTTTAGTGGCAATTTTAGTAGTCATTTTAAAGGCTATTAAAAGTTATTTTTTCAATTGTCTCCTTTCCACCCATTTAGTGACTTTTATCTTTTGCTAGTAAAACTTTAAATAATTTATTCCTATAATTTTCTTTTCTAAATTCATAACTTATATACTCTTTTTTTTATCTCTAGTCGATGTAAGATTTGTAAGATGAGGGTTGTCTTATTTATTTTTTTAATTGTCTTATCTCTTAAGAGATGTGAGATTTATAAGGTGAAAGTTGCTCTCTAATTGTTTTATAGCACTATTGAACTTGGTAATAGTGGGTGATTTGATATTAATTTATTATAGTGAATTAAGAGTCTAACTCAACCATATAAATCAACTTACAAAGTGATAGTTATTACTCACTTATATACTATTTAATTATCTTATCTTTAATCGATGTGGGACTAATTTTTTTCAATAAATAATTGTCGCTAATAGTAAACTTTAATATAATATAAATACACTTTTAGTGGCTATTATATATTAGCCATTAATATTTTTATTATATAATTAAATAGCGGCAATTAAATTATTGCCATTAAACAATTGTCGTTAAAAATAATTTTTGTTGTAGTGAATAATCAACAACAAATACTAATATTTTTTTGGGTTCACCTTAAAGGGTGGGATAATTGGCCTCAAGATTTAACGCGGCTGCATATACAAGGTAGAATTCGAACTCCTAACTTTGCTTAAGCATAGATCAACCCCTATCGCTGAACCACACACTTGAAATTACCAACAAATACTAATATATATAATATGAGTTAATCACATATATATATATATCGACAATATAAAGATTTTTTACACGGACAATCAATTATATTATTTAAATAATTTTATTTTATTAAATAAATAATTAACATAACATTATTAAAATATATAATTGATTACTAAAAGAATTTTATTATGATAGTATATTAATGATTAATTCATATAATATAACACTAGTTTAATATATATATCAACACTAGATAACTTATTTTAATGGGTGATTTTTGTTTATCTCTTTCAAACTGCATCAATTGAAGAAAATACATGCATCAATCACAATGCTAACCAGAAGGGGTATAGTCGCACTTTCAGGTTTCAACTGCACTATATAGAACTTTTTCTTTCTTGCTTTCAAGGTAAACATATTTTACCTTATTGAAGTGACGGTATTGAATGTGTAATAAAGAAGCACAAAATCATTATTAAAGATTTTTTTAATTATTTTTTTTCCCTAAATTACACTTCTAATATATTATAATATTTTATATAAAAATATATATTAATCATCACTTGATCTATTAATTTATTGTAATATACTACAATATATTATTTATTTAATATCAAATTATGATTAACATTTTAATTTTAGTATCGATTCTAAAAATTTTAAGATAATATTTTATAATAAAAAATTACATCTTAGGAATATAAATTAGTTTTATTTTTCAATTTTAAAATATTACGTGAAGTATATTGATTAAAAAATTAGAATTTTAATATTCAGATAGTTGAGGTAGTATTCCAAATTCAAATCTTATATCTTTATTTTTTTATGACTATAATATTAATATAAAGTATTTCATGTTGAAACTAATTTTTATTGGAGATGTGAACAGATAAAAAATATATATTTTTTTTAATATGGTTTATTTCATATATAATATCAAAATTCATATCGTAAATAATTTGATAAAGAAATAACATGACACCACTTATTCTAAATTATGTTGTAATCTTAATATCTTCATTATACCTAAAATTATGAATTTAGCCTATGTATCAGAATTATAGATTAAATATTATAAACATAAACATCAAAATATAATTTAGTTTTTGTTTTAAGAAACCAAATAATTGTACCCTAGATGAGCACAATGGAAGATTTTTGTAGGAGACATTTTTTGCTGATCTTGTTATGAAATCTTTTTCTTCCGTTACTTTTGGTGGAGCTTGAAGAGGAAGGGAATAAAATTAAGGGTCAATCATGTGGTTGATGAAGCATAACTGCATAAGCATAAGCAAGGGAACCCTTTTTTGACCATAGAAAAACCCCACTTAAAGAAAGAAAGAGTGAAAAAGCAAGGCGTGGGTAAAACCAAAAAGCTTGTCCCTTTGACCAGCTTTTTCTTTTTCTCTTCCTTTCCATTCCCACACGCTTCTTATCTACCCTCCTTCATCTGGCTCACACCCTTATGCGAAAATGCCTTCCTATGATGAGAGAAAAGAAGAGCACGTGAAAAAGATCGAAGCTTGTGTGGATCTGAAGGTGATGATCGAGGAGCTTGACTCAAACTCAATCGATGTCCCTTCTGTGTTCATCTGCCCAATCTCCCTTGAACCTATGCAAGACCCCGTGACCCTTTGCACAGGCCAAACCTACGACAGATCCAACATCCTCAAATGGCTCTCCCTCGGCCACAAAACATGTCCCACAACAATGCAAGAGCTTTGGGACGACTCCCTCACTCCCAACACCACCCTCTCCCACTTGATCCTCACATGGTTCTCTCACAAACACATGGCCATGAAGAAGAAGCTCGAGGACGTGCAAGGGAGGGTCTTGCACCTCTTGGACACGCTCAAGAGAGTGAAGGGCCAAGCCAGGGTCAGAGCACTTCAGGATCTGAGGCACCTCGTTGGCTCTCATTCCAATGCAAGGAAAGCACTTGAGGAGAATGGTGGGGTTGCCTTGGTTTTCTCCTTGTTGGGTCCTTTCACTTCGCATGCTGTTGGGTCTGAAGCGGTTGGGATCATTGTGGGCTTGGATTTGAGCTATGATCAGTTGAAGGGTAGTCTCATGCATCCTGCTAAGGTGTCACTTTTGGTTGATATTATGAATGAGGGAACTATTGAGACAAAGATGAACTGTGCCAAGTTGATTGAGATGTTGTTGGTGGAAGGGAACAATGAAGTTCTCCAAAGTTTGAGTCTTTTGGTGGGGTTGTTGAGATTGGTGAGGGATAAGAAGCACCCAACTGGGGTTGTCTCAACTGGTCTTGTTCTTCTCAAGGCTATAGTGTGTTCCCATGAGTCAGTTAGAATCTCAGTGATAAGCCTAGGGGGAATTCCCTTATTGATTGAGCTTTTGCCTAGTTTGAACAATGAGTGTTTGGAGGTGGCATTGTACATTCTAGAGGTTCTGTCAACACTTGAGGAGGGGAGAATGGCACTTAAGGAATGTCCAAATGTTGTTCCCAATGTGGTCAAGTATTTGATGAGAGTCTCAGAGAGGTGCACTCAGTTTGCATTGTCAATTTTGTGGGCTATCTACAAGCTTGCACCTGAAGAGTGTGCCTCACAGGCTGTGGAGGCTGGCTTGGCTGCAAAGCTTCTGCTGGTGATTCAGAGTGGATGCAACCCTGTGTTGAAACAAATGTCTTCTGAGTTTTTGAAATTGTGCAGTTTGAATTACTCTACTAGCATCTTGATCTCCAAGTGTATGCTTACCTCAACAATACAGTGAAAAACACCAGAGCCTTTTGTTTTGTCTATAGCTTCATATGTTGTCAAATTGTATTCATGTTTATGAGTTTCAGATTTTTTCCCCCTTTTTCGAACATTGAGAAAAACTGTAAATAAATCCAAGGCTTATGATGTAGCTAGTTGGTGATTCAAATCTGCATCCTGGCTGTCTTTGATGCCAATCTTGCAACTGACGGAAATTGGTGGAAGCTGAGTTGTGAGATTATAGAAATTCATATTTTAGTGGTCCACTCCATGCTGTTTTCTCCCTGCATAGAATTGGAGTTATTGAAACTTATTTTAATCTGCTTTTATAACAAACTATGGAAGAAACAATTCAAGTTTTTACCTTTTGAAGATTTTTGGTTACATGTTTGTATCAATTAACTAAAGTTAATTGATCTGGAACGTAATACTTCATTTTTGACAATTTTAATTTCTGTTCTGATACAAAGCGTGTGAATTGTAAAACAATCTCAGTTGAGTCAAAAACAAAAAAGTTGTTCCTTTACTTTTAAAATTGCTTAGAAAGTTAAGTCTAAATACAGGAGTTTTTTCATTTTTCCTTGAACATAATTTCTGTTGCAACTTGGAAGAAGCAAAGATGATTTTGAGTTTTTGACCCATACATAATTGAATGGATGAGATATTGATATTCAAAATGGTCAAAGGTCCCAATTATTTTGTTATCTCGAGATGAAAAGAAAAATGTCTACCCAAAAACCAATGTACCATTTTTTTTTTTCAATTTGCTTTTAGAAATAATTTTAAAATGTGGACACTTGCAGTATTAAACTATGAAATAGTGATTATTAAATGTTGGTTTGTTCGAAAAAGGTAATCAGTCAACAAGAAAAGATCTGGATCAGGCGGGTTTAGGCTTGGTCAAGATCTGGAGACTGTACGCTGCTATTTATTTGAACAGAAAGAAGGCATAATTTATGACTGTCCATTCATATTTCAAATTTGAAACCAATTTTGTCATTCCCTTCTTGGACCATTTCAAACCAGGAAGCTATCTCTTATGGGAAAAAGTTATCACATCAATTAGAAATAATTTAATAAAGAGTACATAAATAAAAAATAATTAAGAGAATATTTCACTTAGTATAGCCAATAGTGTTGTACATGACTTAGAATCTCAAAGCAGTGGATATATATTAGGCCATTAACTTGCCATATGTATTAACATGTTTTTTTAAGCACATGGATTATTGATGAGAATATTTCACTAGTGAGGGAACCTAACAGGACAGTTCGCATTCAAAAATATCAATTCAAGTTATTTTAAGAGAACAACACTCGTGTGTGTCATTTTGAGACTTCAGCTTTGATATATTACAATGAAAATATGTCACTTTTGGGCCTTCTTCCCCACTTTCATGTTGAAACTGTCAAATGTCTCGTTTAATTATTTATTTGATTACTATGCTTACACAATTTTAACTTTCTAATTCTTATATAAAAAATTAAAAGTTTTAGATTTTGCAATTGTATGAAAGTAAGTTTCGATCTTTATTAATGTTAATATAGCTAGTGATGTAATATTAACATGATAAATTATATATTACTTCTGGACTTTAATATAAGATCCGAATTTTTAAATTGATTTATTCTTTTTTATAAGATTTAATATATTATGTGTCAAATATTTATTCTTTGTAACTATACTCTGATTAAATGTATTTTTTGAATTTTGAGTAAGTGAAATTCATTTATTGAGTTCCTATAATAAGGACCCCAGAGGCAATATATACAACACAACCATGATAAATAAATGGGGTGGATGTGACTAGAAACTCATGATAGTAAAGTATGTTAACAAGAGTTTATGAGGCCAACAACATTTTGATAAGTAGAAAAATAAATCTCAAAACATGATAATTAATTTGGATAATTTAATGGTAGATTTGACTCGGCCAACTTATGTATATTTATTTCTTGGCAAGCTGATTTGATGTTTAATTTTCTTATTAACATATTAAATAATTTTTATGATAAAATTTTAAACTTAATAAAAAAATTTTGGTACATAAGAAAAAACCTTAATAATTTTAATGTAAATTTCAATCATGGCTAGCATCATACTTTCCCGGGGGGTTGCAGGTTCAGAGCTACAGGTGGAGGTTATAGAGATTGCATTCCCTACAGATTAATTTGTTTTTGTATTTTCTTATGTTTTATCTGTTTTTTCCCCCTCTTCTAGCTATTGTTACCAAAAAAAAATCACATTTTTTTCTTGAAATTCAAATTTAAAAGTAAATAAATTGATTAAACAAAACAAATATTTATTGTTGAAAATAAATAATATATAATATACGTTAGTTAGTTGAATAATCTCTTTTAAAAAAGCATTTATTTCACGTCATCTTATTATTTTCTAAAAAATATAAAGGTAGAAATATTTATTAGAAAGTTATGAAAATATTATCGATGACAACGGAGTGGATTGGAGTCAGGTTTCGCTCTCTTCGTCTCCACTCCCATAAAAGGTGAAACAGTCAGGTCTAAGTTTCAAAGAGATGATTTATATTTTTAAAACTCATCTTATTTCTATCGTGTTTTGTTAGGTTCGGAAAAACTCAATGAAACTCATCACAATTTTTTTTAAAATTTTAATTTACTTATATATTTTAAATAATTTTAAGTTTATAATTATATTATAATGTAAATAATTATAAACATAATAAATAAGAAAGAACTTATAAATAAAAAAAATTTAAGAATTAAATTATATTTTAAATTAAATTATTGTTATAATTTAAATTATTTAATTATTCAAATAATTAATTTGCATTTTTAATATTTATAAAAATTGAAAACT